ACACACACACAAGGGGGGGGGCAACAGCGGTAATTAATGTTTCAAAGTCTCAAAAATGCTGCAACTCCTGTCACAAACTGGATGAATGTGAAGTATTTTGTTAAAGGAGGATGAAAGCGTAACTAAGGAAAGCTATTGGAGTGACTTTGATGGTTATTGGACTCAGGATTCATTCATTTGGATTCCCGCTGTATGAAGAAATTAAAGGACGGCGGAAGTGGAAACAATTCACAAAGGGATTAAACTGTTTAAAACACATGCTCAAAGTAAGCCGGATTTTGCCGATGTGTTTATGTGGATTCAAAAGTTGTAAATAATCTACAAAATGGAGGAGACCGATCTGATNAACTAGTACCTTGTTGGATGCAAACAAATTATTTAAATATAATATTTCAAAAATGTCCCAAATTGGGATCAATAAAGGACCTACCTACCTACCTACCTACCTACCTACCTACCTACCGGTCCTCCTCTCACCTGCTGCAGGTGGTACATGAGGGCGGCAAAGGCCTCCTCCAGCACCCCGAGGACCTGCCTGCTCTGCTGCAGACTGATGGAGGGGATGGAGCTCTGAGGAGGAGCGGTCTGGGACATCCCCACACAGCAGGCCTGCTCTATGGCAGCCTCCATGATTCTGTAACAGCCTGGGAAAAGGAAGTAAGAAGAAGGGTTTAAGTAACAGAGGGGGATGGAAGAATCACGTTTAAATTAAATACCTTACCAACATGGTTTGACATCACTAATGACTTAAGACACACAAATGGACTATGAGAAATATAGAATGAAACCATGACAGCCAAATAATTTATCAAACAAAAAAAGAAAATATATTTTTATAATAAAAAAAATAGGGGAGTAGTGGCGGTTATGTACCTAATATTTTATTTGTGGATTTTTGTTTCGAGATAAAAAAAAAAATGAATTGGACTCTTTTTCTTTATTAAAGATTCTGAGTGAATCCCTTTTACACAGGGTGACACTTAGATATTTTTTGTCAAAATTCCTAAATCTGGCTATTTTTTAAGAAAAAGAAAATTGAAAAAAGGGATTTCAGAATTATTCATAAGATTGGTCAAGTTAAGAAAAGGTTAAGTGAAAGGCAGATGTTTAATTACAATCAATAAAGTATATTAAATAATCACACTACCTGTGAGAGTGTGCTGCAGCTCCGAGCTCAGTTCGTTCCCGGGCGGTTCCTCTAAGCCCATCCTGACCTCCACACAGGCTCGGTTCACCAGTAGGCAGCAGAACTTTGGCGTCCCGACAAACTCCCACCCGTACAAATCCAGCAGACAAGCGCTGAGGACCAGGATTGGCCCGATCTGCCTTGGGGTCAGTCTAGCCTGCAACATGGGTCTCAACACCTCCCATACAGAGGCCACAACTTCTTTCAACTCCTTGCTCTCTACTGCCACTCCTGCTGGGGGGAGAAACTGAACCAACTGGGCGCACATGTCCATCTTAGTCTGGTCTTTGGCCTGGCAGAAGTCTTTAGACAACCTGACCAGCAGAGTGAGGAGTTCTGCAGAGTGCTTACTCCACACTCTGTCCTTGGTTCTACCTGCTACAAGGCATCCCAGCAAGGGAAGCCCCTTCTCATGGCTGAAAGTCTGGTTTTGTTGCACTGCTTGGCACAGAGCGGGAACACCCCCCCTGCTCAGCAGCTGGTCGGGACCTCTGGGTAAAGCACACACAGCTGTGAGGATCTGGTAGCAGTCAGCAGCTATGGCCTCGTCCAGCTTGGAGGAAGGTAAGGCTTCTTGAGATGTTGATACTTTGTTTGCTACACTGCCGTCGTCACCTTTTGGCTTGGTAGTCTTCCCCTCTCCTCCTGATTTGGCCTCATTGGAAAGATCACCTTCAGCGTTTGAACTCTCTGCTGATTGCACTTTAGAATCTGGACCCGTCTCCAAGTCTTGCGTTGGATCCTGGGCTTCCTGTTTCTGCTGGTTCAGAGGATCATTTGATAAAAGGCCCAGCAGGACCGGGATGGTGGTGAGGAGCTGGGGGTGGCAGGCCATGTCTGGGTCTGTGCTCAGAGCAGCCAACAGAGCCGTACCCAGCGAGAGGAGCTCCTGTGGGGGCAGGCCGGAGGTCTCATTCCCTCTGATGGCCGTCACCAAAAGACGAGCAGGAAGGTTCAGGCCAACAGCCTCGAAGATGCGCCTCAAGGTGGCTTTGTCTAGCTGGCTTGCTGGGCACAAGCGGGTTATCTGAAGACAGAGAGGAGAAAGAAAACACCAACCTGTCAGTGTTTAGATCGGATTCTTTTTTCCCATAGATACACACACACAATGGAAGTTGCCACACACACACACACACACACACACACACACACACACACACACACACACGGGGNCCTCGTTTCCCCTTGTTTATAATATTATCACAGTTCCAAGCAAACGAGTGATTTTGTTTTGAAATCACATCCGTGAGTTTTGCCCCGCACCTCGCTCCATTGGAGCGAGGTGCGGGGCAAAACTCACGGATGTGATTTCAAAACAAAATCACTCGTTTGCTTGGAACTGTGATAATATTATAAACAAGGGGAAACGAGGTGAATTTAGCGATCACAACGAAAACGGCCAAGACACATATTGAGCCCAGAAAATGAAAGTTATTAAGGGCTGTAAATATAATAAGCCTCTGTCTAAAATGGTCAACATTGTTAGGAGATCTAAACTATACAGCGATTCTGCACTGCGGTCAACTCAGCCGCCTCTCTTTTTTCAAATCAGCAGCTCTTAATTTTTTTTTCTGCTATATTTGAGGAGTGATACAAATATTTGTTACCACGAGTTGTTAATAAAACTGACACTGTTGGACTCGGTACTAGTTAACTGCTACCTGAAAGGAAAGAACTAGCGACTGAGAAATAATCATATATTAAAAGAAAGCAGCATCATAAGAGGCCAACCAGCAGTGCATGGTGGACTGGCCATCGGGACGAATCCTGATGGGCAGGTGTTGTGTCAAATTATGCACAGTTTCATGTATGTGACACGTTTATTGTCAGAGATAGCAAGGGGTGCATATCGTGGCAACCAGGCTGTTCATAAAAAGCAACCCCCAAAATAAAAATGTTTCTATTAATCCCACCCTCAAGCACTTGATGTAAAAATAAACAATACATTGTAAAGCACAAGTATACAGACAGTCAATTAAAAACATAAATTATATACAAAAATAACTTAAC